TTGGTACCGTGCCGTACCGTGCCAAATCAGTATCGGTACGGTATCGGTATCATTTCAGTACCAAAATGACACAACGAAAAAATAAACCAATTCAATATTCAACATATTCATTCACCAAAATAAGTGATGTCTAAGTTACAAATTCAAATATTCAACATATTCAATATACAAATCCTAATAAAATCCTAATCAACATATTCAATATCCAAATCAATCAAATCAATATTTATCCATCAAAATATTCATCAAATCCAAATGGTTAAAACTCATGCCTTATGGCTTACAAACCAAAATAATTAAATCCCAAATGGTGAAGGAGAATTTTCGAGTCCTATGCAGCTCAATACCCAAAAACAAAGCTCAGTCAATTTTTATGATGCATACATGGAAATTTATGCTAATACAGTCAATGAAAGAAGCCATATACATGAAACAGCTTTTAATTATCAAATGAATCAAAAATTATATTTTAGTACTATTTGGTACGGTATTGACCGGTACCAAAATCTTGATACCGATATCATATCATACTCTATTGGTACAGTACGATACGGTACCGAATATCTCCCCATACCAAATGAAACAGTATGAAATCAATATGGTACGATACAGTTAGAGTACGATTTCGGTATTTCGATTTAAGATGCACACCCCTAGCATATATAACGTAATAATACAACGTAAGTTATGAAAAAGACAAGGAAGATCACGTGGCTGGGTTCATTGCGCACCAAAAAGGCAAGCGCTCACCACACGCCCTCCTCTGCCTCGTTTTCTCCCGCCACACTCTCTGTCTTCCTCCCCTCCTCCTAAATGCCAAGCGTACAGTTACCTTACCTCGTTAGTCAATGACATTTTTCTGTGTAAATATATACCCCCAAATTTCAACCAAATCCTTTGTTATTTTTCTTCGAAATCTACTGAATTTCTCTTAATCCAAGACCCATTTGTTCTGCCCAGCATTTCCAACTGCAGGTGAGGTAGGTGATTCAGTACATATTTCATTTTCTCAATCTAATTGTGCATTTCCTCTGGGTGTATTCTTCTTATTTTTTTCCACAAAATGGTTTCTTTGTTCTGATCTAGGCTCTCTGGAATTATGGCTTTTTGTTTCTTTCTAAACAGTACAAATCCTTTTTCTGGATTGGGGTTAAATTGATGTCTAATTCCAAATTTTCCGTAGTTCAAGTATCATTTTCTACAAGATGGATTAAAAGCTATCATTTCAATTTATTAATTGTAATATTTTTGCGGTTCAGTTGATTAAGGGTTTTTGTTTACTGAGCAATGAGGTAGAACAATCATTTGTAGGACAGCAAACTAGGGTTTCATTTTAAAATTCAATATCTATGTATAAAGTGCAAAAATTCAGGCCCAATAACGATAAATATGGTTGCCTACTGTTGTTTGGAGGATCATCTGACAAGATTCAAGAATGTCTGAATTTGGTATTGCTTCTTATTATAGGATATAAGGCTCTATTTAGTTCATCATAGAGACCGTTATTGGATCATGGGTTCACAGGATCCTGTTCCGGTGGCTGACAAGGCTAATGTAACGGAGACCTCAGTGCGTGGGTAAGTTGTTCAGATCTTAATTTTCACATGAGCGCATAAGCATTGTTATGAGTGCTAGAAACTTTCTATTATCTGGATTGGATATTCTAATGCTTGGCATATTAATTAAAGGCTGGATGTTCATGTGTACTTAGGAACGGTAAAGCTTGTCCTGCTTTAGAAACTTTATGATGCAAAGTAGTGTAACATTTTGAAAAAGGCAAATTGAAAATTTAGACATGGGGTTTCTGAAGGAGTGATGAAAAAGATACAGGGTACACACATTATGTTGTGGAACCAGTATAAGTTTCATCCCTGTCGAAATCTACTTAGAAATATAGAAATACAGCTACGTTTTGGAATAGAATTTTCTCAGAGAAAGTTTATGGAATTCATGTGAAGGAAAGAATACATATGATTCGTTTTTGACAGGTAGCCTTTCTAACTGATTAGAGGATTCAAATAATGTGGATTTCTTGACAGAAGTGCTCACTTAGGCTCTATTGTGAACAAAGAATTTGATTCCTGTTGATGAAGCTGATTTATGTCAGTTAAAATCTCTTTCTGATGTGGATTACTGATTCGTTTTTCATAAAGAAAAAACAACCCGCTGTTCCTTTATGTATTTTGAACTTCATACTCCTTTATGATTGCACTAATGGCATTAATATGTTCATGCTTTATAAGAGGTTTTTGAGTGTCTTCCAACTGCATTTCCTCAAGGCATTATCAAATTGTGTGAAGTTCTTTAGAATAATGGATGTGACACATCCAAGTGGATTAGCATGACTGTTTATTAGGATGAAAAATCACTCAGATTGCTTGGATAGATGTTTAAAGCTGTTTGATGTGCAGGGCTTGTCCTAGAAAAAAGATTCACAGGAAAATTCCTTAGAGAATCCACAAGGCTGAGAGTGAGAAATATAAGCGTGTGTCATTTTTCTTGAGCTGGCTGATGCTCCTTGTAAGTTGCCTTTTATTTATGAGAAGTTCACCGTGACTCTCTTATTGTAATCATTTTTTGATATGATGGTGGGTCATTCTTAATTTGAGATAACTCTTGTAAAGAACTAAATCAGCTGAACAGTTGAAAGGCCTCTATATGTTGTGTGCAGCTACTCGACTGTTACAAGTAATTGCTTGGTCAGATTCAGTACTTACGAAAGGAGAATGCATCCCCTGTTGTCAAAATCTAGCTATGTATAAAGGAACTTTACAAGTTTCTTTGCCCCCAAATATTTTGTTACTGTGTCATTTGTTTAGAAGATTCAAAAAATATGTGTACTTAATTCTGTAGGTATTTAGCTGAAACCCTACTGTTTTTTTGGTTTTTTTGTTTTTTAAGACTGGTTAGTTTGGATCATTCCTTACGCATCAGTAGGTTAGAGCTGAGAAGAAACTTGTGCATCTTAGTTCAATGACATTTTTCTGTGTAAATATATACCCCCAGATTTCAACCAAATCCTTTGTTATTTTTCTTCGAAATCTATTGAATTTCTCTTAATCCAAGACCCATTTGTTCTGCCCAGCATTTCCAACTGCAGGTGAGGTAGGTGATTCAGTACATATTTCATTTTCTCAATCTAATTGTGCATTTCCTCTGGGTGTATTCTTCTTATTTTTTTCCACAAAATGGTTTCTTTGTTCTGATCTAGGCTCTCTGGAATTATGGCTTTTTGTTTCTTTCTAAACAGTACAAATTTTTTTCTGGATTGGGGTTAAATTGATGTCTAATTCCAAATTTTCCGTAGTTCAAGTATCATTTTCTACAAGATGGATTAAAAGCTATCATTTCAATTTATTAATTGTAATATTTTTGCGGTTCAGTTGATTAAGGGTTTTTGTTTACTGAGCAATGAGGTAGAACAATCATTTGTAGGACAGCAAACTAGGGTTTCATTTTAAAATTCAATATCTATATATAAAGTGCAAAAATTCAGGCCCAATAACGATAAATATGGTTGCCTACTGTTGTTTGGAGGATCATCTGACAAGATTCAAGAATGTCTGAATTTGGTATTGCTTCTTATTATAGGATATAAGGCCCTATTCTATTTAGTTCATCATAGAGACCGTTATTGGATCATGGGTTCACAGGATCCTGTTCCGGTGGCTGACAAGGCTAATGTAACGGAGACCTCAGTGCGTGGGTAAGTTGTTCAGATCTTAATTTTCACATGAGCGCATAAGCATTGTTATGAGTGCTAGAAACTTTCTATTATCTGGATTGGATATTCTAATGCTTGGCATATTAATTAAAGGCTGGAAGTGTCCGTGTGTACTTAGGAACGGTAAAGCTTGTCCTACTTTAGTTAGAAACTTGATGATGCAAAATAGTGTAACATTTTGAAAAGGAGTTGCAAATTGAAAATTTAGAAATGGGGTTTCTGAAGGAATGATGAAAAAGATACAGGGTACATACATTATGATGTGGAATCGGTATAAGTTTTGTCCCTGTCGAAATCTACCAAACTTTGGCGAACGTTGGATGTGCTGCCCACTAGTTATTTGTTTCGGCTGATCCTGAATTAGAAAATAGATGCAACTAGTGATGGATACTTCTCGGAATAGAATATACTCAGACAAAGCTTATTGTCTCTATGTGAAGGAACCTATGATTGATAGACTTGTATTATCAAGGTTAATAGTAGTGTTGACAGGTAGCCTTTCTAACTGATTAGAGGATTCAAATAATGTGGATTTCTTGACAGAAGTGCTCACTTAGGCTCTATTGTGAACAAAGAATTTGATTCCTGTTGATGAAGCTGATTTATGTCAGTTAAAATCTCTTTCTGATGTGGATTACTGATTCGTTTTTCATAAAGAAAAAACAACCCGCTGTTCCTTTATGTATTTTGAACTTCATACTCCTTTATGATTGCACTAATGGCATTAATATGTTCATGCTTTATAAGAGGTTTTTGAGTGTCTTCCAACTGCATTTCCTCTAGGCATTATCAAATTGTGTTAAGTTCTTTAGAATAATGGATGTGACACATCCAAGTGGATTAGCATGACTGTTTATTAGGATGAAAAATCACTCTGATTTCTTGGCTAGATGTTTACAAAGATGTTTGATGTGCAGGGCTTGTTCTCGAAAAAAGATTCAGGGGAAAATACCTAAGAGAATCCACAAGGCTGAGAGGGAGAAACAGAAGCGTGAGCATTTTAACGAGCTTTTCCTTGAGCTGGCCGATGCTCTTGGTAAGTTGCCTTTTATTTATGAGAAGTTCACCATGTCTCTCTTAATGTAATCAATTTTTGATATTGTTGGAATTTTAGAAAGTGTGTGATGAGTGTTTGTGACGCTCAGATACCGCTTGTTAGATTGTAGGGTGATTGTGAGTGGTGTTGCTATGATACCATTGTTGGTTTATGCGGTGAAAGAGTTTAGGACAATAGGCAATAGTTGAAATAAAGTGATTTTATTACATTGGAGGAGAATAGTACTGAACAGGTGACACATGAGAAGAATGAGCTCAGAGAGGATAATTCTGCTGACAGTCTCCTGCTGATGATGGCCAATGGCTTACTTATCTTTGCCAAAGCCATTGAGGTGAGTGGTAATTCTTTTCTTTTTCAAAATGTAGTTCCTTTGTTTTTATTTATTTATTCCACCCATTTATATATGGGTTGTTCGCATTGAATGTGATTTTTACTTTGCTTAAGATTCGAAAAGGTATAGTGGTTGTATGAGATTCATTCATTAAATTTTAGCCTAAACTTTTTCATTTTGCTGTTCTTTAACTAAGAAAAAAACAACATATATACGGCTCATGTGGAGTTTTGCGTTAATGAATTATTGATATTACGTCACTGCATTTGATGTTTTGTTTCAGCAAACAAAGGGTGCTCACTTGTGAATTATGATGCTTCCGTGAGTTTTTCTTCAATATCACCCACCAATCATCATAGTTTGTTTGAAGCTTCAATGCTGTCAGTCTCACTGAAAGTTGGATATCAAATGTATGGGTGGTAATAATGCTTTGCAGTAGTAAGTTGCAGGAGAGAAAAATGTAGTGCATGTATAAAATTTATAAAACGCCCCTAGTGTCACATGTACTTGTATTAATATTGCAGTTGCAAAACAATTTCTTAAACTAATTGTTGTACCAATTGTACTGATGCCATGAAATCTTTGATTTACA